CTCTTCTCAGAACGGATAATATCTTCTAAACAGATTTGCTTGATCATATCTCTTTCATGGGGTCTCAGACACATGACTTGACTTAGTTTTAACTCCAAGTAAAATATATTTAAATAGAGTTCAAATCAAAATGCTTAGATATGTGGGTGGATTGACTATTTCTTCTCTGTGCTTGCCTTGAGGTTTCAAACTTATTGAATGTGTTTTCTCTGTTGTTTCTTCTTTGTGCAAATCATGATCACCTTCATAAAGTTCAACTACTGAATTTACAATACAAGTATTATCTACACATCCCCAGGTGACACCAGATGCCAAGTTCTACTGCTAGACTCTCCAACATCAAGCACCCCAAAGTTCAATGTAATCTTTTCTTCTAAAATCCAAATCTGCTACCTGATATTTTTAAAGATACCATATTGTTATAAAATTCAAATATGGCCTCCAAATTCTAATAGAAGCAGATGATCTTTTTTGTCTTGTGTTTGGCCATGATTCATTCAAATAATTGTGACAGTTACTAATTACTATTCACAATCTTATCGTTAATTGTAATTTTGATGTAAGTGATACCTATGAGAGATAGGAATTTATACAGCTTCCCTCCAGGTTTATTGATATATAAGTGGAATAATCACTGTTTAAGATTAACATTACAGCCTAATGTTAAGCTAAACATTTAGCTACAATGTTACAGAAGGCTTGATTAACATATGTTATGAAATGATGACCGTATTAGGACATATTGAGAGATTTTGGGCCAACTTGCAAGACCATTCCTGTAATGACATCTAGCCAATTATAATTAAGTTATCGGCTTCTAAGCTTATTCTATTTCATTGTGAAAGGAAGTTGTGACACCTCATATCTCTGCAGGTTTACTAGTGGATTCAACTCAATATTAATTAGTGGAAAATAATTGAGTACTGTTCAACTGCTTTTAACCATTACCATCCCCTAAAATTACTACATGTGTCTATAGTTAGCTTGCCCAGAATATTCTCTTCATGTCTTACTTACACCCCTTGAACAAGCATTTTATAAGATCCAGCACAAGTTTTCTGGGTAACTAGCTTATTTCCTGAAACATTGCTGCTTGTGTTTTTCTTGTTTATCACTTTGTATTTCTTCTTTGCTAAACTCTACATTGCATATGGAAAAGGTGAACATTTCTCAATCATCTATCCATAGCAAAATTGTATCCAACTCAAAAACTTGTGCACAAAATTTGGTGAATAGATATTATTATCTTAATATTATTTATTGAACAGATGCTTGTTGCTTGACTTGTTTCAGTACATAGTTTTTGTCCTTTTGTTAAGGAAGAGAAAAAAATGACATAGAAGAGAAAATATTTTTGCAGGCAGCTTTCTGCATCTCCAGGGCAAACTCAAGCATTGACTAGAGGATTGAGTCATGATATTTCTGAGCTTGGGAAAATGTATGATTATAGACACAAAGAAGAAATATTACCTTATAGCACAATTTTTTCAAACTGTACTGAATTTTGTTATTATATCTGCATGTGAGCAATCATTATGAAAGTTGATTCCTGACATATATTTTTCTTCAATATCTTATAGAAGAAAAGAGTCAACATTAAAAAGGATTTTCCCCATCTTCCAAAATATACCAAAGCAAAACCAAGAAATTATATGATAAAATTTTTTCTAAGATTTTGAAATAAACCAAGGAAACATTTTATTTGTGGTTATGACACCTGAAATTCACATTCAGCTTTGGATAAAATACACCATAATTTATTCAAGTAACAAATCTCTGTTCAGATCAGCACAGTAAAGATAAAAAATGTCAAGCTATACTTCCATAAAAATATATCAAGCTCTAAAAATGAAAATTAAAATTTTATGTCATACCAGTAATCAATTCAACCAAAATAATTTTGGCAGTTTCTTTACTGTGGAATTTGTTCTGAAAACTTTATAACTACAACTCATCTGCATTTCAAAGAAAGTTGAACACTGGTGTTTTGTCCTTTATTGATAAAAGAACTGAAACCAGAAGCCATGAAGTGTTTCATAATACAGCAATATCTGAGCAGTGTGAAACTTTTTAAAACTTTACTATTTGGAAATTCATATTTCTTATGCCTGTAGTTTACATATTTGTTTCTTAATGTATTTAAAGAATTATTCTATAAAAAGTTCCCTCTAAAAATTACATTTCTTATACCTAAGATAGTGAATTTCTAAGTGTGTCATAGTAGTAACTATTTTTGCTCTACTGTTTTTGTGTTAATAGAATTCATTTACTAAAGAGTAGAAATTGCACCACCATAAACTATGAGCGTGCCGTGGTAATCCAAAAATTTATATAATTTTTTATAACAATATTGCAATGGTCAAAATTTATACTGGTAGCAGCAACAGGAATTCTTTTACATTACTTATATGAGCATAAATAGGTATAACTACTTTGCAAAACTTACAAAAATCTAGTACAACTAAACATAGTTATACAACTCCATGGTCCAGTAATCACCTTCTAGATAAATTCTTGAACTTAGCCCATTCAGTTCCCAAATACATGTATTCACATGCTTTAATGATGTTCAAAGTAGTTCTACTAAAACCTAAAAAAAACCCAAATATTTCTCAATAGGATGATGTTTTCACATATTGGAATATTATACAGCAACAAGGATATATGTCTCAAGAAACAATAATGGATAAATTACAATACTCAAATTAGTATTCATGAAAAGTTCAAAAGGAGAAAAAAATGTATCTTTTGTTATGTAAGTTTGGATAGTGATTACCTTTGAGCAAGGTAGTACTTAAGGAATGATGGTGGGAGGTATGTGAGTGCTTCTGTGATATTGACAATTCCACTTCTTTATACACTGGTCTCCTTCACAGGGGGTTGTAACTTTTGTGAAACTTTACTTACATGCAAACGTTTATTTGTGCACTTTTATACATGTATGTTTTATCTCAATAAAATTGTTTAAAATCTTTGAAAACTTACAGAAAAAAAAGTCTGTAGTAATATATATTTTCTGTTGTTTCTATTTCCAAATTACCCCAAATGTTATGTTTTTAAGTCATGAAATTAGATTTGTGGTTTAGTATAAGTGATCTTTTTGTCTTTTTTTTTCTTATGTGTTTCTTCTTTGCTTAGCACAGCAGAAATATGCTTATTGAAAAAAGGGACAGTATTCATAAAGATATGTATTTACAAAATAATTCCAGTAGAGGGAATTTTACTTTATCATAGCAAAGGACCCTCACTGAAAGCAAACATTTATTTATTTATTTTTTACATATAATAAAAATTCTTCATAGAATGAAGTACAACTCTCATCTAAGATTAGTCTAGGATAGAGAAAAATACTACTCACTTTATTAAAGAAGAATGAAAAACTTGAATATACATATCATACAACTATATTGGCTATGTATTTATCAAGGGACTACATTTATGAATTATTCATAAAAGCATTTAAACTGAAATTATTCAATATTAATAAAGATAAATTCTTATGAACAGATCATCAATTTGAAATGCAATTATAGTGAATTTCAATAAAACTAATAAAATCAGAGGATGTAATGATAAAATTTGTAAACTTAAGGTTGATTTATAAGAAGTATATTATTGCCATTACACAAGTAACACTCTAGTTATTGACATCACTCTTCCTAAATCTAAATAACTACTAAGTTCTGTTTACTTTTTGAAAAAATAAGTGTGAATATTATCATTTAAGATATTTGAAAGTAAATATATTAAAGTGATCAATTCTTCATAACTTTCTATTTTTTTATAAATTTTTCACATATGTGAAAGCTCTGTACATTTTATTCTGATCACTATACATAAATTTGTGACACAATTTGTGACAATTGTGCTATAAAAATTTACTATGACATATCAAGGTATTTTTCACTGAATATGTTGTATTTTGTGATGGTTCAAACCCTTCAGAAAAAAAGTAATAACTTTCAAAAATATAATAACCTTCACAACTAGTTTCTGTTACTACAAGCATATCAAAAAATCTAATTTTTGTAGGACATTTTTTATGAGGTACTCTATGCTTCTAAGGTGCTCAAAGATGACAATTGACATAAAAAAAAACCCAGAAAATAGTATCTACATTCTTCAAATAAAAACCAGTATACACATACTTGATTATTCTTTCTTTTGAATTCCATCATCTTGAAATACTTGTGAGTCATAAATATGGACATTAAGGAGATAGTAGTAAAATTTATATAAGTGCTTTAAAAAATCTATAAAAGTAGCGTCTTGTCCATACATTGTGTGATTAGAATAGGGATGAAATTTTTCTTGTTATTTACTTGGTCTCTTGTCTAATCTTTAATTTTAAATAAAGAAAGTCTACCAAATATTATTGGATATGACAGTAAAATGACACATTGTAAAACAAAGCTCTCATAATATTACTTTCTTCAAAATTATTGTTATTGACATAGAACACATATGATCCTTTAAGATATTGTCTCCAGGTCTTACCTGAACTAAGTTCATTAGCAAATAATAATTGCAAAACCTCTTTTTACTTATTTCTCTAAGCCTCTGAATACATTGCTCAGAATTTCTCTGATCAGCAAAAGCCTGTGTTATAGCTTTTGCCTTTTATAAAAGTACGTTCCATTTCTAATTAACGAATGTTCTGTAACTCTTAAAATGAGATTAACAAGCCTTAAATTGTAATTCGTAAAAAGGCAATTCTAAAATCAATTTTAGAAGGAAAATCTAGGTTTTGGAAATAATTTTTCTAGGGCAATCTCAGCTGCAAATAATGAGATGCCAGTTATGAAAAAACACAAGTTAGTAAAAATAGAGCAAAGTTGTTATGTTTCCAGAGATCTCAGTAGATAAACTGTTAGTTAGATTAGAACACAATACTATTCAAGAGATACTTTCAACTAGTCAATGTAGAATTGTATGATTACTCCATCAATAACAAGTGGTTGCAACCTAGTAGTCCAACTGTTAAATGCAAGTTGACTCACCTGAGTAACAGTGCTGCTTCCCAGAAGTAAAATCCCGAAACTAATGTCCGAAAGCGTCTCACGTGGGCCATGATACGCAGAGATATTCACGATCCTGATATTAGCCTTATCCAAGTCATGAGGAACGAGAAAGCTGGGAATGAAAATGGACAATCTAACTCCGTGTTGTATTGGTAGAGGCAAATGACTGGAAAGCTTCAGCACCTTAGACAGCTCCACGTAGTCCAGGGAGGCCCTCTCTTTCCAACACCTAAAATTTGCGTTCACCCCTTCTATGAGCATTGAGCAAAGGGGAAGGTCTGGGTTACAAATGTACAGGTGATTGTACCGTGAATACAGAATAAGGGGTGGGATGAAATGTCTGGAGTGCCTAGGTTCAGGGCAACAGTTCGTTGGAGCCCTACAAGCAAAGAAAGAGTCCTTTCTGACTCACACCCACCACACGCAGCAGCAGCAGTATCAACGGCAGCAAGAAAGGAGATGTTTCTTCACCTGCTCCAAGCGCCGCCCGCCCGAATTCCAGTCTCCACCTTTGGGTAAAACCCGAGACCGCTAGCGCGGCAAAGGAAAGCGGGGCGGGGCCAGACGACACAGTCTTGTCCGCCAATCATCACCACACAGCGGGACAGAGTGACGGGCCACTCACGGCGGTAGGTGGTGCTTAGCACCTCTCCTTTAGGGGAAAAAAAAAAAAAAAAA